TCAAACCATCCAAAGCCAATTCTTGAGAGCTTTCATTTTTATTAGAGCAGTGCAAGATAACTTACAAACATTTGAAAAATACTCAAAACACTGAGAGTAAAGGAGTCCCAACCCTTCCTCAGAGCCCAGAAAACTGACAGGAACCCCAAAGGCTTATCTTAAATCCATCAACTCAATTTGCCAGAAAGTGCTGACAGACCACCCACCTTTGCAACACAGGGCCCAGGTTTCTTGCATGTATAACCACTAAGAAAAGCCTTCTGGGAGAAAAGTACAGACTGGTGAACATAAGTTACTAAAAAAGGGTTGACTGCATTCTATATCTGGCACAGGAAAAGAAAAATTCAAACAGCTGTGAAACCGTTATATTTACACCATGATACTCTTACATGAACCTTGACTTTCCTACCTCAACAGCTTCATTCATAAAAAATACATAAAAGATTGGAAAGCTTTGGGGTAGCACCAGTGACAGCTAGCTGTCATTGAATAGTTTTATTTTTTCCTAAAGGCAAAATTTAGAGAAATATTTATTTTTATTTATTTATTTATTTTATTTTTTTTTCAGATGGAATCTCGCTCTGTCGCCCAGGCTGGAGTGCAGTGGTACAATCTCGGGTCACTGCAACCTCTGCCTCCTGGGTTCAAGTGATTCTCCTGCCTCAGCCTCCTGAGTAGCTGGGACTACAGGCGCGTGCCACCATACCTGGCTAATTTCTTGTATTTTTAGTAGAGACAGGGTTTCACCGTGCTACCCAGGATGGTCTCGATTACCTGACCTCGTGATCCGCCTACCTTGGCCTCCCAACGTGCTGGGATTACAGGCGTGAGCCACCGTGCCTGGCCAATTTAGAGAAAACTTAAAGAAGCAATTTATAGAACTGATTCTATTTCATGATTTTGCCTTAATCAGCTGCTATGGAAATGGTGCAAGCAGAAACATAAATATCCATTCTGCATCAAGTGAGTTTCTATTTCTTTTTTCTCAAAGGGTAGAAGTGGTACATTTCAACTTTTGTAAGGCTTCTGAGGATTAAGGGCAGCTCATAGCTTATGACTTGACAATCTCTAAAGGAGCTCCTGGACTTTTTCACCAAGAGGATAGATGAAGCCACTCCTTATCCACAACTCATAGCAAGGATCTCTATGCATCTAGATTTTAATGCCAACAGTTTCCTGGCTTCCTGACTTGACATGCACCATGCACAAAGAGCAAGGTACTGACTAGTCAAAAGCCACTCTTTCCAGACACTGATCACTCTGGCTAACCATCTCACAGACAGCCTGCATCTGGTCATAAAATGGTCCCTGGAAGGAAGCATAAACACTTCCCAAATACTATGACAGACAGCCTAATGTGGAAGTTCTACTAATGGTAGAGCACAAGAATCACCTCTGTGTACAAAAATGGCACATGAAACTGTTCTTAGTACAAAACTGTATCTCCCCTTTCTTAATCACTTGTTACTATTTAACAAAGCTGGATACTCCTGAAAAGACCTCACCAAGTACATTAAGTTATATCCTGTGAACTATCTTGAAAACATATTCTCATGTTTAAAGATTACTTTGAAGAACCAAAGTTGCATGTTTAAAAATAAATACACTTCTTAACAAGTTTCCCTAGCCTGAATCCCTGGAGAATACTAGAAACCAGTTCGGTGGCATTTTAGCTGCACAGAGTCCCCCTCAGGTGAGTTGGTGGGAGTTACCGGAATCCACCATTACTTCCCTAATTTTCTTTCCTTCTCCTGAGGAAGATTTCCGTTATTTCCATAGCAACTTATGATAATGTCCTAAATGTTCACATTTTTTGGGTAGCACATATATTGTTAGGACCTATTTTTTTCTTTCTTTTAAACAATATCTTCAATGATAAAGAAAAGGGAGCCAAGTTCGATGGCTCACACCTGTAATCCCAGCACTTTGGGAGGCCAAGGCAGTGGATCACCTGAGGTCAGGACTTTGAGACCAGCCTGGTCAACATGGTGAAACCCAGTCTCCACTAAAAATACAAAAAATTAGCCAGGCATGGTGGCGGGCACCTGTAATCCCAGCTACTGAGGAAGCTGAGGCAGAAGAATCACTTGAACCTGGGAGGCAGAGGTTGCAGTGAGCCAAGATTAAGCCGCACTCCAATCTGGGCAACAAGAGTGAAATTCTGTCTCAAAAAGAAAAGAAAAGAAAAGAAAAGAAAAAGGGCCAGGTGCAGTGGCTCACACCTGTAATCCTAGCACTTTGGGAGGTCAAGGCAGGTGGATCACCTGAGGTCGGCAGTTCGAGACCAGCCTGACCAACATGGAGAAACCCCATCTCTACTAAAAATACAAAATTAGCCAGGTGTGGTGGCACATGCCTGTAATCCCAGCTACTCGGGAGGCTGAAGCAGGAGAATCATGTGAACCCAGGAGGCAGAGGTTGCAGTGAGCCGAGATTGCACCATTGCACTCCAGCCTGGGCAACAAGAATGAAAACTCTGTCTCAAAAAAAAAAAAAGAAAGAAAGAAAGAAAAAGGGTACAATTTAAAAAAAAAAAAAAAAACTTGTTAAAAAATTATCATGCTTTATACAAAATAGCACATTTATTAGACAGAATTCATTCCAGAACCACTGTTCAGATCAAACAAATAAATGGGAACACACAGCACATAAAACAGATCATACACAGTTTAAACATAATTTTCATAGCCAGAATTGTCATGTTGGGCAGAAAATAGTAAATCAATCCTTATACAGCTATATGAAAATTATATGTAAACATAAAAACAGCCATAGGTTTAAAATAAATCAGGTTAGATTTAACTAGGCACTGGAATGAATGAAAACTGATTATATTCCTTTTGATTCCAAATTTCTATCTTACTGGGAAAATAAGAGTACATCATTCTAGCTGAGGGATGAGAGGGCAGGCAGATGAGGATAGCCACACAGGTATACGCAGCGTTGCCTGATGATTAAACAAGACAACTATTTTGGGAACTGAGATTTCAGCTACACTATTTAGAATTTAGACTGGCAGATTCCAAAGATTATTGTTCACTTAAGTTTGTAACCTGGAACCTCTATAAACTTTAGTGCATCTGATCTGGCTCTAGAGTATACTTTACAATGCATTTAAAAATAAAAACAAGTAAACAAACAACAAACATCCACAGATTTCCCTTTGGGGATATGTGATTTTTAGATGCTCATTCTCCATTTGGTGCAATCATATAAACTCCTTGAAAAATTTAGGGGATTCTTTCTGATAATGATTAGAAAAGGGTGAGACCTGGGATATAGCAGGAGCAGCAAAAAAAAAAAAAAAAAAAAAAAAAGGTTACTCTCCTCTTACTGAAGATACTCTTCTGAGAACTTCCATTGTCCCTCAGGAAGAAGGTATGGAATATGGAACAGTTCCAGAAGATATCGCTGCCTTCTGAAGATAGTTACAACAGGGCCATAACTATGACATCTAAGATTACTTTTTTATGTTGCACCTGCCTTGCTCATAAGACATAGAATTCTTACAAAGCTATGAAATAGAGTCGGGAAAAATTATTCATGGCACTTAAACATGTTCAGAGACTGTAAAATGCTCTCCTTTATTTTTTTGTCTCAATGCCCCTGTGAGGTAGGTGTCTGTGGGGAAAAAGCTGAGGCACAGAGGGGTTAAGTCTGCTCACCCTTCATTTCAGGATGAGCCAGTGGTCCAGCTAGCAGAAGGACCAGGTGTCCCAGCTCCCTAAACTTTATTTACCCTGCTTCTCAGAAGGCTTATTTATGTTACACAACAAATACAGCAGGGGAATGTTTTCTTTTCATACATTTTAATTAGTTGGCTATTTCTTATTCTCACCTTGAACAAAAGTTATCTCAGATAAAACCAAATAAAAACAAAACAAAAAAATCAATATTGCCTAACAGTCTGTGTCAAGATGTAGCCTATTCTGCACTAATGATTGAAAAGCATAGACTGTGATTCAAGTAGAAGTATTTGTGGGTGCTGTGGTTACTCAAGCCAGGCTGTGAGTAAAGTGTCCCTTTAGACACTACCCACTGTACTTTGTAAGAACTTCTTTGGCCTGACACAGGGAATAAATCTACCACCCCTGTTTCATGGTAAAACCGTATTCTGAAAGATATTGTACACAAGGCTGGCCCTGCCGGGAAAGGGGACTCTCAGCCGTGCGATGTATATTACCAGTTCATGCAGAACTCTTTGAAGATGGACATGAAGGTTACAGTCTCCTGACATAAAGCTCACAGGACAGTTCACGCTATGGACAGAGGGCCAACACCACAGGGTACATGCGCTAGCACCATGCCACAGAAGTCAAGAGAGAAGGACAAGAAGCCACCACACAAGAATCTTAGAGTCCCATCTGGTATGCCATTTGCAGAGGCTACCTCTGGTAAGGGGAAGACTGAGAAGTCCTATATTCCTTTCCATCATAAGACGGATCAAAACAGAGCACTCACTGCTGGCTTCTTTGAGCATAACACCTATCCAAATTTCACCCCTACATAAGTTGGTGATTTTCCTAGATCTTGTAGATATTCAAAGATAATACATTTCATTTCTTCATCAAGAGAGAAACATGTTGGGCAAAATTCAAAGGTTGGTTAGAAGATGTGTATGCAGAGCTCCAAGGCAATTTACACCACTACTCTTAGAATTTAATTCATGAGTACTCAGGGCACTAGCTTTCAGACATGCAATACTTCTTTTTGAGACTGTTTTTTCCCCTATAGTCTCTGAAAAGTAAATTGTACTCATATTGTCACCCCAATGGAAGATCAGCTATTTGGCTTCAGGGTCTGAAGTAATTCAGGACACCAAATCAGATGCATGTATCTATGTATGCTTTTCGCCTTGATCTGAATGCATACACCTGCCCTCCCAAGGCCTGTCCTCCCCTTCAGCTCACCTTCTAGAGGGCTGAGCCTGCTCTATCCTCTGCATAGGCAGGACCAGAGGGAACCATTCCAACTCAGATGTCACTGGGATACTAGGATACAGCAGCAACTCATGCACTTTATTTCTAAAAACCAAAGCTCAGGCTGAGCTGTTCACTGTGCAAGATGAACCAGCAGGACATTCTCGCCTCGAATGAAAATCTGATTTATGTGTCGAGTGAACACCTGCTGGTAATCCACTTTGGGCTTTCGCTTTTTCTTACGGGACTGGCTTCTGGAAAGGGTGGTAGCCCTGGAAAAGGTACCTCCCACACTGGAGCCTTCTGTCCGTGTAGTCCTCCCTGACAACTCTGACCTGGACTCCTCCCTTGCAGAGGCCTGCAGGGAAGAAGGGACAGAGCGGGAACGCTTGTGTGAGCCCCGGTCAGTGTCTCCTCTTCCCCACACTGAAGCCAACTTCCAAGTGGATGTCTGTGAATATCTGGACAGAGTGGAATCTTCAACTGCGGACTTAGAATCTGCTTCCTTCTTGGAGGAATCTTGAAGTTTCAGCCGATCAAATAACTATAAAGAAAAAATAATAAATATTAGCCTTCCACCCTCTTTCAATATGCAGAAAAAGACCAAATTCTTTAATTATGTTATGTGGACTCCTTACTTTGCAAGTGTTTTTTTTTTTTTTTTTGGAGACAGAGTCTCGCTCTGTTGCCAGGCTGGAGTGCAATGGTGCAACCTGGGCTCACTGCAACCTCCACCTCCTGGGTTCAAGTGATTCTCCTGCCTCAGCCTCCCGAGTAGCTGGGATTACAGTGGCCCAGCTACTTTTTTTTGTATTTTTAGTAGAGATGAGGTTTCACCATATTGGCCAGGATGGTCTTGATCTCTTGACCTTGTGATCCACCCACCTCGGCCTCCCAAAGTGCTGGGATTTCAGGTGTGAGCCACTGTACCCAGCCTGCTTTGCAATTTTTTAAAAGTCAGTAATAAATTTCCTATTTCTAGCCATAACGCAGGTAATACATATGTCAAGTGAAAAGGCTTATTTCTGTGGTATAAAGCTGAAAGACTTTAAAGTGTTGTAAGAGAAAACTTGCTGCTCAAATAATATGCAGGTTACAAGTACAGAATGAATCATTTGAGATTCACTGGAAGCATGAAGAGAGACTAATGAAGACCTTGGTACAGGCACAGCTGTTTTATAGCCACAGAGATTTCACTCTAGGAAATCCTGGTCACTGGGCTCAGGGATCCTAATTCCTAAGCATGACGGCTACTCAGGACGTCAGGGGGAAACTGCCTACCCTAGTGAGAGTTAGTGAAGAATCGCGTTCATATGCTTTGCCAAGTACAGGTTTTCGGTAGGTCTCGTCGACATCAGTAAGTGCCTAGAGGAACAGCCCAAAAGGGGAAAAAAAAAGAGACAGAATTAAACATATTATTTGTATAGCTTTTTTAGGGTTAAAAAAAAAGAGGCAGAATAACATCCATTCAGAGCAGAACTAAACTTAACAGGTGACTCTTGGGCAGAAGAAAACGGTGATAATCTGGTACCTTCCATGTATTTTGAAGCTGCTATCACCAAGTAAGATGGGTTTCTCCTATGAATGGTAAGGGCCCTGATGACTGCATGATAGAAGCTCTTAAATTTCAGTGTGCAAGAATATCTAGGAAGTTTATTAAAATACAAACTCAAGGCTATTCTACTGGAGACTCTGTTTTGGTAGGTCTGGGATGAAGCCCAGGAACCTTTTGCTTTGACCAGAAACCCCAGGTGATTCTGATGCAGGATGGCTTTAGACCACACTCTGAGGAACACTACTGCTTCTTTACCCTCCTCAGTTTGTGTCTTATGAAAGCAACTAACAGAGATTAACTAGGGTTACACACAGAATTACTGGTGAGTTCTCATCACTGAAAGCAACCTCACAGGACCAGCTGTTAGGACCAAATGAGTATGTAAGATGAATTCCTTTGAAAAATATAAATCACCCTATAAATATAATCTTACAGTATTGTTATAATCACCACTATCGTCTAATACATTCTCTTCAATTCTTTCCTTCAAAGGTAAAATTATCATAATAAAACATTTTCCCCTACATTTTGGAAATGAGAAAACTGAGGCTCAGAGAAATCATCTTGCTTACAGTCACACAGTTACCAAGTGGTGAAGCTAGGACTCAAATCCTAGTCCAGGATTTGAAGCTAGGATTCAAATTCCATAATGGTTGAAAACATGGTGTTAGGAGTTAGAAAGACTAAGGAAAAAGTTTGATACTTCCACTTACTAACAGTGTGATCTGGGACCAATATTTTAGTCTCTCTAGACACAGTTTCTTCATTTGTGAAATGGAACATGACAGTACCCACAACTCATTCATTGAGATAATATACGAAGCCCTCAGTACAGTATCTGGCACATAGCAGGTACTCAATATTACGTTAGCAATGACTGCTCTTATCCAGGAGGATGGGGATAAAGCACGGGGAAAGGGAAAGTTGGAGACAGAAGAACATATGGAAAAGAAACACTAGAAAGTTCTGGTGTTTTGTTTTTTGAGATAGAGTCTTGCTCTGTCACCCAGGCTGGAATGCAGTGGCACGAGCTTGGCTCACTGCAACCTCTGCCTCCTGGCTTTGAGAGGTTCTGCTGCCTCAGCCTTCTGAGTACCCGGATTACAGGCATGCACCACCAGTCCCAGCTAATTTTTGTTTTTTTTTTTTTTTTTTTTTTTTTTTTTTTTTTGAGATGGAGTTTCACTCTTGTTACCCAGGCTGGAGTGCAATGGCGCGATCTCGGGTCACCGCAACCTCCGCCTCCTGGGTTCAGGCAATTCTCCTGCCTCAGCCTCCTGAGTAGCTGGGATTACAGGCATGGGCCACCATGCCCAGCTAATTTTTTGTTTTTAGTAGAGACGGGGTTTCACCATCTTGACCAGGATGGTCTCGATCTCTTGACCTTGTGATCCACCCACCTTGGCCTCCCAAAGTGCTGGGATTACAGGCGTGAGCCACAGTGCCCGGCTCAATTTTTGTATTTTTAGTAGAGATACAGTTTCACTATGTTGGCCAGGCTGTTCTCAAACTCCTGACCTCAGGTGATCTGCCTGCCTCAATCTTCCAAGGTGCTGGGATTACAGGCATGAGCCACTGGGCCCGACCTAGTGGTTCTTAACTACCTCAAATTATAGTTGTGCTCTTACATATCCCTTCTCTCCTACAAATGTCTAGAAAAGAGACAGCCTCTAGAAGGCTAGTAAGTGTGGCACACTCCCTCATTATAAAACTAGTATATGGCTGGGCATGGTGGCTCATTCCTGTAATCCCAGCACTTTGGGAGGTGGAGACAGATGGACCACCTGATGTCAGGAGTTCAAGACCAGCCTGGCCAACATGGGGAAACTCTGCCTCTACTAAAAATACAAAAATCAGCTGGGCGTGGTGGCGCATGCCTGTAATCCCAGATACTCGAGAGGCAGAAGTTGCAGTGAGCCAAGATTGTACCACTGCACTCCAGCCCAGGTGACAAGAGCAAAACTCCTTCTCAAAGAAACAAAACAAAAAACCCACCACGCAAAATGCTTTTCTTATTGATGTCTGCTTCATCTCTATCCTTATTTATCTTCCCATGTACTGTAGAGTGAAAGTTCCTTTCTGAAACTTTTGCACCTAGCATGGGGTTCAATCAAAGTGGGAAGTCAATAAGAATGGTTGGTAGAAAATCAGTTTAAAATTACTAAACCAATAAAATAAATAATTGGTCCTTAAGCCTGGGTTTCTCAACCTTGGCACTAATGACTTTCAGATTGAATAATTCTTTGTTGTTGAAGGACTATCTTGTGTATTGTAGACTGTTAAGCAGCAACCCTGGCCTCCACCTATTAGATGTCAGTAATACCCCCTCCTACAGTGGTGACAATAAAATGTCCCCAGACATTGACAAATGTTCCTGGGAGTGAAGGAAGAACAAAATCACTCCAGTGAAGAGCCACTGCCTGGAGAAGGAAGCAATGAAAAGGCCTTTATTTGTTGTTGCCCAAAAGTATGCCAAAATTCTAGTTCTTCTGAGAAGCTATTTTTTGGGTTTTACTTAATCTGGTTACTCAGGTCCTTTAAATATATAGATGTAATCTGTGGGAGGTTCTCCAGCCCCTTGAGAAAGGCTTAATTACCATATTCCAGAACTTGTCGAATGCAACAAGGAAGCCTGTACAGACGCCCCGAAGTCCCTTGAAAGTGCGGATGTGAACATTCACCTTCACCCCCTCCCGGATACAGCGATGGAGTTCACCCAGAGGGCTGCCTTCATGCACTGAAACAAGAAAAGAACAGTCAGGGCAGTATGAACACCTGCCCTCATTCCCAGAATTAACAGCCAAGACCACCCAACTTCAGCCAGCAATACGAGGCCACGTGGTGGAATGACGATCTCACTGTCGGGAACAGGAAGGTCCAACGGGCAACATGGCTCATACAGCCAACACACACGGTAAGGAGACTAGATTCCAACAGAATGTGGATAAACCATATATATGGATATTAGCCAAATGTTTCACTACCGGTATATCTTTTATTCTATGATGTCACTAATTCTAAGATGTACTATCATTTAAAAACTTTTTGGGTTGGCCAGGCACAGTGGCTCACGCCTGTAATCTCAGCACTTTGGGACGCTGAGGTGGGCGATCACCTGAGATCAGAAGTTCAAGATCAGCCTAGCCAACATGGTGAATATTCCCCCTACTAAAAATACAAAAATTTTCGGGACATGGTGGCCCATGCCTGTAATCCCAGCTACCCAGGAGGCTGAGGCAGGAGAATGTCTTTAACCCAGGAGGCAGAGGTGGCAGTCAGCTGAGATCCTGCCACTGCACTCCAGCCTGGGTGGCAAAGGATGACTTTGTCTTTAAAAGAAAAAAAAAACTTTTTTGGGAAAAAAAAAAATCACACATTAAATGTATACATTAACAGCCAAGATTCTTCTCAATTCTGTGCCTTAAGACAACTCATGAATCACATATCCAGCTTGAGTCTCCCAAAAAACCAAAAACCTTGTTCACATGTTCAAAGGAAACAAACTGTGCACTCTGCCCTTAAACATGTGCAAACCTGTTAGAAAGAAAGGCCTCTGACCCCACCAAAGCTACTCCATGCAGAAGCTCTCTGGGGTCACTAGTGTTTCTGGGAGGAAAAGCACTGGTTGGAGCCCAAGCCCTGATGGTGTATCTGCTGAGTATCTGGCTTCTGGAACACTACTAATAAGCATCATGTGAAAAGAGCAGGAAAACGACTTATGGGAAGAATATTGGGACTATAAATTTCAGCATTTATTATGAAGGATTCTATTCTCAGAGCGTGGGAGCAAAGATGAATTTTTATTTCATGTTAACTTCTCTCTCACAATATGCTGGCTATGGTATATAAAACCTCCCAAAAGAAAACCATACACATTCTTTTTTCCTGAGACAGGGTCTCACTGTGTCACCCAGGCTAGAGTGTAGTGGCACGATCACACTCACTGCAGCTTTGACATGCCTGGTTCCAGCGATTCTCCTACCTCAGCCTACTGAGTAGCTGGAACTACAGGCACGCCCCACGCCCCACTAATCTCTCTCTTTCTCATGTGTACACAGTGTTGGACTTTCCCAAGTTTGCAAGGCAAAATTCTGTAGAAAGTTTTTTTTTTTTTAATCAAGTCTTAGAAGTCTGGTATAGAGAATATTTGCCATTGACAGTAAACAAATCAAAAAGCTCTCCTGCTTTGTTTCTAGTGGCATAAAGGAGAACAACAGCCCTACACTTCCATTTGGATAACGAATTTGGTTCTTCCTGAGGCCACCTTATCTCTCTGTCATGAATTGGCTTATAAATGATGGCTGTGATAAATTAATAAATTAATAAGATTAATAAGATTCTTAGAAGAAAACGACTTAGCAGATGAACAGGAGTAGTTTATGTCATATTAAAGGTGTGGCAATAAGCTGGAGTTAGAAGCAACATGAAATATTGATCTTGGAAAAGACCATGAGAACCTTAGTCTGACCATCATCATTTACCTCTTTTCTAGCAGTATTTTAAAGTCCTTTGTACATCTGCTAGATAAGGGTGTGTGTGTGTGTGTGTGTGTGTGTGTGTGCATGCACATAGGCACATATACAAATATCTGCATATGTGTTATAGGACATATTTAAAAAATCAAATACTATAAACAACTTTCAGGTCATTATAACTAGTTTTGTGACCCTGGTGAATAACTTTTTCTTTAAGGTCCAAATTTCCTCATTCATAAAATGAGGTTAAATAGTTAACTCGTAGATTTCAGGACTAAGTCCCAATAATTCAATTTCTTAGAAACTGATCATATGCCTGCATTATTTTCTTTCCTACACATACATATATACTGTCCTCGCCCTACAGATGTGTATGTTTACATAAAGAATGGAAAGACGATTCTTTTTCTAACTTGGAAAAAAACAGGGACATTACTTCTTTCCCACACCTCTAAAACAGAAATAGCAAGCAGGTATCTTAGCAATAGTCTCTTATGCCAGTTAAATAGATGCCAAATTCAGGTCTTTCAATTGGTCTTTCTCAAATGTGTATCTTGAATTTTTTTCTTCCAAAGATTTAACAAGGTGTAATTGCAGGGAGCACTGCTCTCCTTGGATCCTTGTGTGATCAAAAGCGCAACACTAGCACTACCTGTTAGAGCAAAGCACCACGGCAAACTGAATGACAGTGCACATTCTTTCCAGCCACCTCTGTGGCAAACTCCAAATGGATGAGAGTCAGGTTTCTATGACAAAATATGACCAAAAAAAGCACATGCCTTATCCTTGGAGAAAGTTACTCTTTCAATCCCCTTTGCTGCCATGCCCTTCCAAATCCAGATCATTTTCAGCTCCACTCTTCTGTCTCCTGCTACATGTAAATTATACCATAGTAGCCTGACTTTAAAATAACTGTCCTCAATTATGCCCTTCTTTAAAGACCTAAAACTTACCTCTTACAGGAACTCCTGTTTTCTTTACAAAGAAATATTTAACAGGAATGTATGAATAGAAGCCGTGTCTGTGTCTCTGGTGGCGGCAAGACAAGATGATGGATCCCCGTGCCACGATCCCCAGATGCAGGGCTTATATACCACAGGGAAAGGCTGATTCAGAAGGGATGTGTAGGACAACTGAAGTAAAAGAACATCAAGGTTGTTCTGACAGAAGGACAGGATTTATAGTACATGCTCTTACACAAGGAACAACAGATAAATTGGAAATCTTAGAGGCCTTCCCAGAACGGTTTAATCAGAAGTCAATATGGTGGACTGACATTCAAGATGGAGTTGCTTTACCCTTCACAACCAACTAGTCAAAAAAAAATTTTTTTAAGGATAAATCTATATCTACATATATATCTTCAAATATACAAAGTTATCAGCTCATTAGGGCATAGGCAGCTCCCCAGATTCTGTAACCTACCAAGGGCCCAGAGAAATGAAACCACTAACTGTTACAATCACCTTATGAGTCTGCAATGGAAAAGTATTTTTTCTTTTTTCTGAAAAGAGTTTTAGTTGCAATTCTATAGAAGGGTGCCATGACAGGTTTAAAGCACAATGTTTGAATCAGTGACCAGGCAAAGGCACACCGGTATCTCCTCTATTGTGATGCTATGTTAAACTGGCCTAAACACACACACAGACACACAGAGCAGTGTGGTGCAGAAATCATCTGAGATTGTGCCTTAGTTGCACTGGAGATAGCTGCAATGAACTAAGAAAAGTGACGAGGTTGAATCTGAACCTTGGCCTTTTTTGAAGCATAAGTCCCCCTGTTCTTGGTTTTATGTAAGTCACACTCATGCCCTTTTGGCAACATCTGTGCAACAGAGATGCTGTTCAAATTTGAGAGTTCCTTTTACTGCTGCATACAGGGCTCATATGTTCTTGATTCTGTCTATTTTCTTGCTCTTTATTTGCAGGTAGTAAAATCTAAGTTATCCAAAGAATATCACTTCATTAAAATGAAAACATCAAGAAACCATATTGTGAGAAATTATTTCAGCAATCAAAGTAAACTACAACAGGACTCTAACGAATTTTCAATCGTGATATCATGTCAGAGGCCCAATAAATCAGGTTTGTTTTGAAATCCTTCTCAGCATGATGTGTGTGAGTAAAAGGACTGTGTAGGCTCCCCGCAGGAGAACTGAATTTGGAACTGGAAACAAGCCATTCACCTAGAGAATGGTATAGGAGCCAAACCCTGCACGTCACATGCATTTTGGACTGACCACACACACTTGTTCACACCAGCACACGCTGCACACCAACACACCCCTAACTAAAACAGTTTTACATTTATTTATTTATATTTATATATAAAGTTATATAACACTTTTTCTTAAAGCTTTATAATGTCAGGACGTGCGCTTGAACATACCAGTTCGTTTCATAGTGAAAGATACAGCTAGAAAAAGCTTACTTGAAGCATAATTATAAACCCACAGAGCCACTGTGGGCCAGGCATGGTGCTGCGATACTAAGGAGAAATAGAGACACTAGAATTGTGTGGAAAAGAGGATAATGCTTTTTAATCTTGTCTTACTGTCTCCATAGGCACCTCAATATTAAAACAGAGGAAAAGCAATTACGTTCCACTTCCAAGTAGAACTTGTGCCTGAGTTCTATAGCAGGAAAAAATGTGTTAACGATGGCTTGGGCTTAATGATTATGAAAACCTTTCCTCCTATGTTTTTTTTTTCTTTAGTATTCTGAGTATTGCAACAGCCTCCTATACTTTTCTTTCTTTCTCTTTTCTTTTTTTTTTTTTGAGACAGAGTTCCGTTCTGTGACCCAGGCTGGAGTGCAGTGGTGTGATCTTAGCTCACTGCAGCTTCTACCTCCAGGGTTCAAGCGATTCTCATGCCTCAGCCTCCTGAGCAGCTGGAACTAGAAGTGGATGCTGCCATGGCAAACTAATTTTTGTATTTTTAGTAGAGACAGGGTTTCACCATGTTGGCTAGGCTGGTCTTGAACTCCTGGCCTCAAGTGATCCACCCACCTGGGCCTCCCAAAGTACTGGGATTACAGGTGTGAGCCACTGAGCCTGGCTACTTGTAAAATGTTATTACCGAAAGGTAAAGAACAGGACTATTCCACAAGAGAATTCAAAGACATTCTATGAGAGAGACACAAAGTGAAATATTTTACAGTTAAAACACCATTATACTTAATTTTGCACTCCTTGTGTTTTTCGTAAGCATTCCACACTGTCCTGTCTGTGAACTTGGATGGGCAACTAGAGTCTGAACTGATAAAATACATAATTTTAAAGTGAGCAACAAAATGTAGTTCCTCTTCATTATGTTTCATTGATGATAAGACCTAACAAACCGTCTGTTTGCTGTTACAGCCTGATGTAACTTACATTTTATGTAAATATTTTGCAAAGGATTATGCTTTCTTAAATGCATAGGCAGTTTTTCCAGAAAGCATTTGTATATGCCCACAACAGTATTATCTTACTAGTATCTATATTTTGATATTCCTGAGCAACTGTATCCGATCAGAGTTTAGAATAGGTATATTATATTTTAATTAAAACTGTGGCATACATATAAAACATACTTAATTTTTTTTTTCCTTTCAACTTTTGTTTTTGGATCAGGAGGTAAATGAAAGGTTTATTACATGTGTAAATCGTGTGTCACTGGTGTTTGGTGCACAAATTATTTTATCATTCAGGTAGTGAGCATAGTACCTGATAGTGTTTTCTGATTCTTACCCTCCTCCCACCTTTCACCCTCAAGTAGGAATTTCTTCTTGAATAAATCCAATCCTCACCCATGTTTCTGTTGTTTTCTTGCTTTCTGAAGGTCATCAACTTTGTGTGACGTCATCACCTTTCTCTCATGTACATCCAACTGTCTACAGTGCCATGGTGAATTTCAATATGTAGGGTACATCCTCTGAGATCTTGATTCCAGGGGTATATTTAATCATAAGAAGTTGATAAAGCTGGTCTTCACACACTGTCATACATTAAAGTGCTCTAGAGGGAAAGCTAAAACCACCCACCACAGGAATACACAGGAATATTCCTTTCCCTTGACAATCTTGGTAGCAAAGCAATAACTGGTAAAACAGAAATAAATGTTGCAATGAGCCTAGGAGTGCATTTCAACTACCTATGGCAGCAAATTGCATAGGCAAATTAAGATCCCCCAAACTGTGCTCATTTTGGGAACACACATAACTGTCTTTGTGCTACAGTCGGGCAAGCAAGCCAGGGTAAATCCTAGCTTGGGCAGGGATGCTATGGCATGGTAAGACATCCAATAAAGGCACACGTAGCAGCACACAGGGTTTCAGGATGTTTCTCTCTTAATAAACGAATTTCTAGGAATGAAACAAACAGTCCCTTGCTTAGCACACCTCTCCATCCAAAAGACAGTGATTTAACAATGTAACAATTTAATTATCAGGATACAGATGCTTTGAATGGCTAAGTAGGTCATTGTGCTCACAGGGCAGATGTCAGAACTGCTTGCCAGAAGACAAGAGATACAACCCTAGGCTGTTTTTATTCATTTATACAAGACCTAACTCACACATTAAAGCCTCTGCTGTTTACGGCTTTACTCTAAGGATATATTAGGAGGCTCCAAGAAATTCCCTTGTGCCATTTACACCTTTAGAACTTTAAAATAACCTGCGCATATGGTAATATGAGCCTGACAGACACACTCCTGCACCCCTCCAGGCAGAATGGCTGTAAAACAGTGTCTGTGTTTTAGTGGTATTTTGTGCCTGCTACATTTCAGCACTTGTGACTTAATGTGAACATACATGTATCAAGACCCTGCAGCTCTTCTGCTTATCGCACTCGAGAAGGAGCTGTCACTAATGTACAGAGGTTATGGGATTACGCGCCTGTGCTATCTGAACAGATCTCCCCACAGTCCATCCGATCATCCTCAAATCCCATTGACCAAATACTCTCCTTCCCCTAGTATTGGCTGTGCTCTCCCCAACGTCTCCCGTATTCCGCCCCACCTTCCCTCTCACTGTGGTCTCTAAGGCGTCTCATCACCTCTGTAGACGTCCCTCTGATGTCCCCCAAACTCTGTAGCCGATTCCAGGCCCCCGCCACCTCTGCAGGTCCTCCATCAACCCTGCAGACCCTCTCCAGAGGCTCGTCACCTGTGTCACCCTTCCGTGGGTCCCGATGACCTCTGCAGACCTTTCCGGCTTATCACCACTACGGCCTGACCACTCTCCCTCTGTTGCTCCAACAGCCCCTTCCTTACTCAAGGCGACCTCCCCACGCCCTCATACCCACATTACTCAAGTAGATCCTCCCCACAGCCGCGGATTCCCGCAGATCTTCACCGAGGCGCTCCCCAGTGCGTGCAGACCCGCGCCCCGCCACGGCCGCCAGCTTCCGGACGGCGGCGGCCCCGCTTCCCGCCCGGCCCGCGGACTCACAGGGCATTCGCGTGAGCACGTTGCGCGGCGCCTTCCTGCTCCGACCCGGACCCCTCCGGCCCGCTCCGGCGGCCCCGTCCCCTTCCTCTTTGGTCACCATGAGACGGCGGAGGCGCTGGATGCGCTCGGGGTCCGGGGCGGGCGCGTCCGGACGGCGGCGAGTCCTGCCCGAGGGCCCGGGAGCGGCGGGAACCCCCGAGCCCGCGGCCGCGCCCCGAGCCCGCCCGCGCCCGCGCCCGCGCCCGCCGCCCCGGACCCCGGTCCTGAGGAAGCTCTCGTATTCGGCCACGTTGTTGAAGCAGGGGGCGTTGGGGTAGGGTATGGGAGGCAGGCGGGGCGCGTACAGAGCCAGCAGCGGGTCGAAGCTGTCAGAGCTGACATCCAGCCGCGGACTGGGCGGGCGCACGGGGCTCCCGGCGCGAGCCGACCTCGCCCCCCGCTCCGGCTCCTCCATGTTTGAAAGGCCCGCAAGCCGAGGCCGATGGGAAGAAGGCGCGGAGCCGCCAGAGGGCGGCACTGCGCAGCCGCGGCGCGGAGTCGCACTGCGCCGACGCGGCCGCCGGAGGGCAGCACTTGTCCGCGTTCCGCCCGGGCCGAGGGGGCGTGGTGCGCGGATCAGACCAGCCCGCGGTTCCGACCAGCGGGCGCCTCCACCGCCTCCGCCCACAGGTAACAGGTTAACGCTGTCGACCTGCTCCCTCGGCAGCCTCTCGTCTGTGTCATTATCATTCGGGGTGTTTGTTAATACTCCGGGTTTCCCGGGGGTGAGCTCGGGATCGCATCCTAGCTTGAGCTGGCAGGAAAGGCCTGGAGAAAGGCAGTGAATGCCTCAATTTGCTTCCATGCTGAGTACGAGTGATGGTGGCGGGGCGGGGAGTAGCCTACCTGGGCTCATATTTAGCGTCTTTCTCATCTGAAATATGATATAAATAGTACCTACCTTATAGAACTGACCTCAAGATGGAGAGTTACTGCCTACAGAGCACATCATAAATGCATATGAACCAATACTGGGTAAGTGTCAGCCCTCCATTTCCTATACCCTATGCATAAACAAATTTCCGCTAAGGCTGGAGAGACGTTAGTATCAACGAAAATTCATTATATCACTGACTTTCTACGTATTACTAAGCAATTGGAAGAAACAAGGATCCAGCTCTTGTAGGAAACTATGGAAAATTCACAAGACCTAATCATACCACTTGTTACATTGTAGCCTTAATTCGGCAAAATATTTTTTGGTTGATTCGAAAATGGTAAGTCTACTTTACACTGAAGGCCTAGATACTACCTTCCATCCAGCAGAGCCAAAATGTTTCCACCACACATCACTTCCCATCACCACATTCTCGAACTGCCATCAACTAGTATTCTCTGTACTAGTTGCTTTGTGTATATTTTAGTTTCCTTAAAACTTAAAGAGGAACTCCAAGAGAATACTGGAGAGTACCTTAGAGAGCAAGACGAAAATTAATATACAACTGTGAAATATACCTTGGGATGAATGCATACTAAAGCAAAGATAAAACCATCAAGCAGTGGCTCCTAATTAGTAGCAGTACAGGTTTCTTTATGGCACAGGTATTAAACCCGGCTTATCACTTTGTTCAAAACCCCCTGCCTGAATAAACAACTCAAAGCTGCAGAACTGGGGGCAATTCAAATAAGTGCTCATCCATTATATGACAAAACTGAATGATAGCCTTTATAATATCACTTAAGACCTACAGAAAGCAGATTTCTCTGGGTGGTTTTCTTGAAAATTTGTGCTCTAATGCCGACTTGTCTGTATTTTGATATAAAATGCTGTTAACTTACCATTAAATTAAAATTACTAATCAAGAGCTACATTGTCTTACTTCCCACCCAGCCTATCACAGTACACCGAGGGCCTTGCTGCCCAAGGTGCTGTATATTGACAACCATACACATCAGAAGCCTTTGGGGTTAAAAATCAGATTGCTGGCTGGGTGTGGTGGCTCACGCCTGTAATTTCAGCACTTTGGGAGGCTGAGGTGAGTGTATCCTGAGGTCAGGGGTTCTAGACGAGCCTGGCCAATATGGTAAAACCCCGTCTCTACTAAAACTACAAAAATTAGCCAGGTGTGGTGTTGCGCATAGTCCCAGCTACTCAGGAGGCTGAGGCAGGAGAATCACTTGAACCTGGAAGGCGAAGTTTGCAGTGAGCCGAGATCACACCACTGCACTCTGGCCTGGGCAACAGAGTGACACTCCATCTCAAAAGAGAAAAAAAAATCAGATTGCTGAGCTTCAAACCTTCCTGGAGGCTGGGGGGACCTGAAACTGTGCATTTTAAACAAGCATTCCAAGTAACGTTTTTTTTCCATCCAGAATTTTGTGAACCACTACTGTGATGAGGGTATGTGTTTCCTGGCCTACCCAGAGATATACACGAAAGTCAGATTTCATATAGTCTATTTGTCTAAGAAAAATAAATGAAAAAGGCCAAAGGAGTTAACATCTTTATTTCTTTCCTCAAAGAGATTTTAGCAATTACCAAACAAGAGCCATATCTCCTCTTTCTGTGGAGTGAGAACAGGAAGGGAAAAACTGGCATTGACAGATGGGGTGTCAATTAGTGAGGGATGAGTCCAGCCATCACCCTTTCAAAAATACATTTTATTCCTGACTGTAAATTCTGCAATGCAAGACGAGGCACTGGGACATGGGCTGTCTCCCTTTTTTTTTTTTAAGACAGAGTTTTGCTGTCTGGAGTGCAGTGGCATGATCTCAGCTCACTGCAACCTCCAGCTACCAGGTTCAAGCAATTATCCTGCTTCAGCCTCCCGAGGAGCTGGAATTACAGGCATGTGCCACCACACCAGGTTAATTTTTGTATTTTTAGTACACATGGAGTTTTGCCATGTTGGCCATGCTGGTCTCAAACTCCTGGCCTCAAGTGATCTACTCACCTCAGCCTCCCAAAGTGCTTGTATTACAGATGTGAGCCACTATGCCCAGCCATGTCTTTTTTGGGGGAAGACAGTTTCGCTAGTCACTCAGGCTGGAGTGCAATAGTGCAATGTCAGCTCACTGCAACCTCCATCTCCTGCGTTCAAGTGATTCTTCTGCCTCAGCCTCCTGAGTAGCTAGGATTACAGGCATGCCCCCACCGTGCCCAGCTCATTTTTTGTGCTTTTAGTAGAGACAAGATTCCTCCATGTTGGTCAGGCTGGTCTCGAACTCCCGACCTCAGGTGATCTGCCTTCCTCAGCCTCCGAAAGTGCTGGGATTATAGGCATGAGCCACCGTGCCAGGCCTCTTTAATAGGCCCAAATCATCCTTTCCCTCCAAAATATAAAACCAGGACAAAAGAAAAATGTGAGTTTTCTCATCACCTATTCCCAATAGCTTCCCCTTTCAGAGGTCAAATTTGGCTACGTATAATGCCTTCTTCTCTCTGCTTCTCACCCATCTCCAATAGCCCAGCAGAAGGTGGAGCTATTAATATTATGACTCTTCTGACACCTGCTACCTGTCAATTAGCAGAAGCATTATCTGCTAATTGACAGCAGGTGTCAATTACCCCTCTGCTCTTAAACTCACGTCATGTTTCTGATTACACAGAAGCTACCTGAGAATCTTTTTCAGGAAGTACAACAGGAAAGGGACTTTTAAAACTAATATCTTGAGTAGACGGAGTAAATGTTTCTCCATCCTCATTCACTCATTCTTGTTTTTCTTTCTCATATATACACATAATTCTGTTTCTTCTTAGAAAGAGGTAAATGGCCTGAGAAACTATGCCCCTGGCTAGATGATGATGATCATGCTGACAACTCCATTAAATCAATCCACAGAATGTGTACACAAGGACACTGAAACCACTCCTCATTTGTTCAGCCAAAGTTGCCAACATGGAGACTGGCACAAAGCCCTGCATATTCCCTGCAATTCCTGAATCCAGAGGCATCATGCAGGCATTAACCCATATTTATCTTCAGGTCTGGCAAAGATGAATGCAAGTAGATGGGTAGCAGAGGTGAGATTTTCAAAGTCAGTGGGTTTTCCGGTTAAGAACAGGTGGGCGAGAGTTTGGGCTCCTCTTCTCTCATAGGTGAAAAGAACTGACAGGTTTTTATAAGATGTATGTCACAATCTAAAAATGATTCACTCTGCAAGGCATGAAATAGTTCTTGCTTTATAAAAATAGTACTGCAATTTAAAAAAAAAAGCACTTCTGCCAAAGGAACCATGTTCCCACATTGCAAACAAGGTGTTCTGCTTAAACAGAATAAAATCCACCACCCCCATCCATCCTTCCTTGCCTGTCCCCCTCCCAACTTGAGTCGTATCATTTGTGCCAGTGTTCTGGGTGGTAGGGATGCTATGGCCACCTAAGGCAGGGAGCCCTGGGAGGTGGGAGGGCTAGCATGGTTAAGTACACCAGAACTGAAGAGCAAAGGGTCAGCTGTCTTCATCTAGAATCTCTGGATGTTCCTTCCAGAAAGCATCACCAATGATATCGCAGTGCAAGGGCACTGGTTTGGTCCTGGTTCGGGTCACTGCCATCTTTTTTCCTTCCATTTCTGTTGGCAGCTTAATTTCTTTTGTCATAACTTCATCAACCTACAGGTAAAAATAAAGCAGGGACATTGTTAACTCAGGAGTGGGTTTGGGAGAGAAAAGAAAGATGTGGGGATAGTTCACTTTTTATCTTCAAATACTTCTGACTGCCATATTTGAGATATATATAGATATATGTATGTGCATATATATGCACATGTGTACGTGTATGTGTATGTGTGTGTGTGTGTGTGTATATATATATATATATATATATATATAAAATCTCACTATGCATGAAGTTCTTTATAATTAGAAATAATTTTTAAAAGGTTATGTTAGCAGGGCATGGTAGCTCATGCCTGTAATCCCAGCACTTTGGGAGGCCAAGGTGTGCAGATCACTTGAGGTCAGGAGTTCAAGACCAGCCTGGCCAATATGGTGAGAACTTGCCTCTACTAAAACTACAAAAATTAGCTGGAAATCACTTGAACCCAGGAGGCAGAGGTGGAGTGAGCCGAGATGATACCACTGCACTCCAGCCTGAATGACAGAGCAAGACGCCATCTCAAAAAAAAAAAAAAGAAAAACAAGAGTTATAATATTATAATATTCTGAAGAGATCTTAGGAACAAAGAAAGGATTCCATGTTCCTCATTAGCAATAACTACAGAATTAAAGGTATTTCTTACCTTCCATCTTCATTAAGAAATATCCAAGTCTGTACCAAAGAACAAATGCTTTGAAATACTAAAAGAGCTGGAGCTGCCAGTGAATGACTAGCTCTCAGGGTACTCCTTGGTACTCGAAAACATTCATTTCAGGAAAAAAACAACTTTACATGGGAGGAAATAAGTTTAGAGAAATCATTATGCCCAACAGAGAGGAAATATTGGTGAAATATTGGTGTCAAGAGAATCTCATGACATTTAGGAAAAAACAAACCCTCATATACATCTTCTCTTAGTGCCTCATCATATTATAGTTGTCATGGGATGGAGAAACCATTTAATGGTATTATCCAGTGTGAGAGAAAGTACTTTGTAAGTATTTTACGAATGCCCAAATCCTGATACCTGTACTATATCCGTTTAAAAGGATTTTATTTAATACAGGGAAGCTTACAAAACAGAAAAATAAGGGCATTAATTCTAAAATTCTGTAATTCAACTTATGTATGGGAGATTTTGGACCACTACTAACTGACAAAATGCACATCCAAAATAAGAAGAATCTATGGCATCCCCTGTAGGAAAGGATCTGGTTTGCGTTAGCGACTGGAGTCGCATCAGCATACAGGCAGCAGGCAGGACACAGCTTGGAATGGGCACGGGCTCTCTTTTTTCCTGACTTCCATTTTTCTTTGAACATAACAGCATTACCTTCTGCCATATCAGCACCGTCCCCTTCCTATATATCAGCGGTTCATTATTATAGTTGATATTGAATTCAGAAAACAAAATCTCATTCTTGTCTGCTGCAAGGGTTCCCTGAGGAAATAAAAACATATATTAAAAGCTCTGCATGTCTTTTTTTTTTTCTATGGAGATGGAGTCTCACTCTATCTCCCAGGCTGGAGTGCAGTGGTGCAATCTTGGCTCACTGCAACCTCTGCCTCCCGGGTTCAAGCAATTCTCCTGCCTCAGCCTCCTGAGTAGCTGGGACTACAAGTGCACACTGCCATGGCCGGCTAATTTTTTTGACTTTTAGTAGAGACGGGGTTTCACTGTGTTGCCCAGGCTGGTCTCGAACTCCTGAGCTCAGGCAATCCACCTGCCTCGGCCTCCCAAAGTGCTAGGATTACAGGTGTGAGCCACCGCGCCCGGCCTGGAGGTCTTTCTCTGCTAATGCTACTCTATCCATTCAGTCTGCCACCTGAACTTCCACAATCAAGAAATGGAAGGATTTGATCAAACATCTTAGAGTTACTAGTAAATTTTCATCTTAAGAACAATTAGATCTTATTTAGATAAAATTCTCTCTATACCAAACAATGGCGTCACAAATCAAGACTGAAAGAGAACAAGGGGAATTAATACTAACTGAGTATATATTATGTATTTGGTCAAGTAAAACTTAGAAAGGTTATATAAATTGCCCAGTATTAAAAGGTTGTCCTTACTCTTCTACAAATATTCAAAATCTGAACTTGATTCTTTCAAAACTGGATATACCTACCAGTATTCCCTTTTTTGAGACGGAGTCTCACTCTGTCACCCAGGCTGGAGTGCAGTAGCATAATCGCGGCTCACTGCAATCTCCACCTCCTAGGTTCAAGCGATTCTCATGCCTCAGCCTCCTGAGTAGCTGGGATTACAGGCATGTGCCCGATACCGGGCTAATTTTTGTAGAGACAGGGTCTCACCACGTTGGCCAGGCTGGTCTCAAACGCCTGACTTCAGGTGATCTGCCCACCTTAGCCTCCCCAAAGTGCTGGGATTACAGGCATGAACCACATGTGGCCCCAGTATTCCTATTATTGCTACATATAAATCTCTATCATTAGTATTATTAAAAATGACAACCATTTCCTGAGCAATTATAATGTATCAGGCATTGTATTAGTAACTGTTACAGCTGGGCACAGCGGCCTGCACCTGTAATCCCAGCTACTTGGGAGGCTAAGTGGGAGGATTGCTGGAGCCCAGGAGTTCAAGATCAGCCTGGGGAAAATAGTGAGACTCCATCTCAAAAAATAAATAAATAGATAAAATAAAAAAGCAAATAGGCCAGGCACGATGGCTCACGCCTATAATCCCAGCACTTTGGGAAGCCAAGGTGAATCATGAGGACAAGAGTTCAAGACCAGCCTGGCCAAGATGGCGAAACCCCGTCTCTACTAAAAACACAAAAATTAGCCAGGTGTGGTGGTGGATGCTTGTAATCCCAGCTACTCGGGAGGCTGAGGCAGAGAACTGCTTGAACCTGGGAGGTGGAGGTTGCAGTGAGCTGAGATCATGCCACTGCACCATTCCAGCCTAGGTGACAGAGTAAGACTCCGTCTAAAAAAAATAAAATACAAATAAAAGAACTGTTACAACACATTACCTCATTTCACAGTTAGTCTTCCTACAAGTAGCACTGTTATCTAATAATAAAAACCAGTATTTATTAAGCACTTACAATATGCTTCATACTATTCTGTGTTTTACATGCATCATGCTATTTAATTCTCACCATAAACCTATGAGGTAGAAACTATTTTCTACATTTCACCTATAAAGAACTGAGGCAGAGAGGATAAAACTACACAGAAGCATGATATGAGTACTTATCTGACCCCCCGAGCGTGTATTCTTCCCATACACAGGGGTCAAAAATCCAAGAAACTACAGGTGCCCAGCAGGGAATGGGAATGATGGAAGAGGCCTGGTGTCATGGACAAAGTCAGTGCCGGCCAGGTGCAGTGGCTCATGCCTATAATCCTAGCACTCTGGGAGGCCAAGGCAGGCAGATTGCCTGAGGTCAGGAGTTCGAGACCAGCCAGGCCAACATGGTAAAACCCCGTCTCTACTAAAAATACAAAAATTAGCCAGACCTGGTAGCATGTGCCTGTAATCCCAGCTACCTGGGAGGCTGAGGCACGAGAATCGCTTGAACACAGGAGGCAGAAGTTGCAGTGAGCTGAGATCACACCACTGCACTCTAGCCTGGGTGACAGAGTGAAACTTTAAAAAAAAAAAAAAAAAAAAGGCAGTGCTGAAGACGGCAGTCACACATAGCTTCAGGCAAATGTTAGCACATGGGAAGGCAGAGCCAATGCCGAGGACACGGAGAAGCAGTAACTCATCCAGGATTACAGACCAAGCAGGCAGCAGAGCTGCTCCTATTATGATTTTTATATTCTTTCAAAACAAAGCTGTAAAGGGATCTTAAAAAAAAAAAAAAGTAACATTAACATAAAAAAAGTTATGGGAGAGCCTACAGCAAACCATCCCATTAAATATTAACATAGTAAAATCTTTATACCTGTAATCTCCCTTGGGCTTCTACTGGTGTTAGTCCAGATTGTTGTATAAGTGCCCAGAAAACTGTATTATAAAGATTATTGATGTGACCTGTAAGGAGAACAAAATAGTAATGTTTATATACAGAAAATCTTTATTCAATATTCATGCTTCAAGGAATACTAGAGCCCCGTCTCACTCCTCTTTAGAGAGATCTCAGAGACATCTAGTGACTTGCCGGAAGTCTTACACAGGGAACATGGAGGGAAGGAGTCGGAGGAACAAACCCTTATTCCCAACACCAGTTTTATTTGGTCATTTCAGTTATACATTATACAAAGCTGTTAATTTGTGTGTTGATCTTAGGAATACTTTAGACGTTATTTGATTTCTATTATTCCAATCTCTTTCCAGTTCGTCGGGAAAAACCAAAACAGAACAAGCAAGTAAAAGTCTCACAAACATCAGAGTCACATAAGGCAGGGGTCACAATTCAAATACCCACTGAGGCTGGCATGAACATAAATGTGTAAAACAGTGGGTGACCCCAGAGGAGCAACAGGAAAAGGCAGAGACTATGGCACCCTGCCGTGTATGTGTGTGTGTGTGTGTGTGTGTGTGTGTGTGTGTGTGTGTGTGTAAAGGTGGCTACCACTGCAGAGGCTCTGTCCAGTACTGAGTTGGAATGTAGATTTCAGTATTACTATATCTGACTATTTTTTTTTTTAATACAGATAAGGAGGCTGGGTGTGGTAGCTCACACCTGTAATCCCAGCACTTTGGGAAGCTGAGGCAGGTGAATCACCTGAGGCTGGGAGTTCAAGACTAGCCTGACCAACATGGAGAAACGCTGTCTCTACTAAAAATACAAAAAAGTAGCTGGGTGTGGTGGCGCATGCCTATGATCCCAGCTACTCAGGAGGCTGAGGCAGGAGAATCGCTGGAACTGGGGAGGTGTAGGTTGTGGTGAGCCAAGATTGCGCCACTGCACTCCAGCTTGGGCAACAAGAGCAAAACTCCATCTCAAACGAACAAACAAAAATAGAGATAAATTTATCAATACTTTTAACTAATTGAAAAAATATTTAACTACTGCATTCTATATAAAATGTATACAAAACAAAGTATATGTGAACCAATCCTGCATCAGATCAACACTTGTAAGGCATGGAATTGGTGGTTTAACTACAGGTGTTTATTTGGTGCCACTCACAATCTGCTTGTCGCCAGCTGAGGTAGTCCTTTAAGGTCTGGTTGCTAGGATACACCACGACTCTTCCATCAAAGCCTGGGGGATACAGAAGGGGCTGGTCCTCAAAGTAATTCCGCCAATAAAACACATAGCTGGAGGCGAACTGGGAGGCCACGTGAGTCATGAACTTACTTGCAGATGTAAGGCACATTGGGTGGAGCAAGAAAAGGAAAAATACACGGAATTAATTCAATACCATGCTAAGACCTGTGAGTGCCACAGAGAGGTTACGAAAACTGCCCAGATAGCCAGGAGACAAAATGCATTTGGCTAAGAAACACCATTTTAATACCTTGGTCCCATTTTTTTTTTTTTTTTTTGAGACGGAGTCTTGTTCTGTTGCCCAGGTTGGAATGCAGTGGCGCCATCTCAGTCCACTACAACCTCCACCTCCCAGGTTCAAGTGATTCTCCTGCCACAGACTTCCGAGTAGCTGGGATTACAGGCGCAAGCCACCATGCCCAGCTAATTTTTGTATTTTTAGTAGAGATGGGGTTTTACCATGTTGACCAGGTTGGTCTCGAACTGCTGACCTCAAGTGATCCACCCGCCTTGGCCTCCCAAAGTGCTGGGATTAAAGGCATGAGTCATCATACCTGGCCAGTTACGTATTTTAAATGCAGCCTGCCTCTCTTTCCACTTCTATTAAGTAACCTACTAATACTAAATTTTTCCCTACAGGATGTGATATGAATTTATGATTCAAGAATTACTTAAAAAAATTTTTTTTAAAGTTAGTATCTCTCTGTCCCCCAGGCTGGGGTGCATTGGTATGATCATAGCTCATTGCTGCCTCAAATTCCTTGGCTCAAGGGATCCTCCTGCCTCCTGAGTAGTTGGGACTACAGGTGTATACCACTGTGCCTGGCTAACGTTTACATTTTTTGTAGAGACAGGGTTTCACCATCTTGCCCAGGCTGGCCTCAAACTTCTGCACTCAAGTATCCTCTCCCTTGCCCTCCCAAAGTGTTGGGATTACAGGTGTGAGCCACCATGCCTGACCTATTTGTGTTTTCAGCCATAGAAGAGGGGAAACCATTGTTTTTTTAAAAATGCCAGTTCAGGCTGGGTCTAGTGGCTGACACCTGTAATCCTGGCACTTCGAGAGGCCAAGGCAGAAGAATTGCTTGAGGCCAGGAGTTTGAGACCTGCCTGGGCAACACAGGGAGACCCCATATTGAAAGAAAGAAAAGGAAGGAAAGGAAAAAGAAAAGGAAAGGAAAAACCAATTCAGTATATGATTTGTTTCCCATGCAGAGTTTTAAAATATTGCCAAGTCAAATATCCGATTTGTGTCTATTTTATGCTAAGATCCCCCTTAATCAACAGTGTAAATAAAAATACAATGCATGTAGAGACTGTCACTGGCTAAAGCCAACCTATGAATTGTTAATATTACAATTTTATGGTCTATGCTTCTAGTTTTAATGTTCAATGCTAGGTCAGTCTAGAAACTAATCCTAAGGGACATGTCGGGGTAAGAATCGGATAAAGAAGCATACAGAATGCTCGGCTATCAGATGGAAGTACAGCAATCTAGGAAATATACATGCACTCTGGAGTTACAAATACTGCAGACATCATCTATAGTCTGTAAGTCTGTGATTAAGATAAACAGAAAACCAGATGCTGGTAGGAAATACTCTGAAGAAAAGAAGAAGGTCATGGAATTACCTGGCTCTTCTTTTAAACCAATTGGTTTTCCGCTTGAACACAAAGCTGTACTCATCACTCTGTCCATATGCAATCACAATATCCTCTAGTTCTTCCATCACGGTCTGGGCACATTTGGTCATCAGGTGGAGAGCACGGCTGTCATTAGGTTTTGCAAAGTTGTGCTTCTCGGCAAACCTTCATAGGGGAAAGAGAAAAAGGAAGAAGACATGGATGGAAGCCTCATTAACAAGAGGCCCTGTTGCTAGATAACAAAGGCTGTTTGGAGACGATAATGTGATAGCACTGTGAACCCAAATGCTCAGCTAGCCACAACCTGATCCATTTCCTTAAGAACTTAGTTTTTTTCCTGCCCTGAAATTGAGAAAACCAGACATAAATGCTAAGCCTCAACTCTCCTTTCCGTGAAATGGGAATAAAAGAATATTTATCTCACTGGGTTGTCCTAAAGATTAGGGGAAAGATAAAAGTAATCATACCTAGCTCCTAGTAAGTGCTCAATTAATGTTAGTTATAATGATCATTATTAATAATGCAGCCATTTTAAAAAATTAAATTCCCATTTTTCTGTTATATTTCGTTCGCCCTCTTCCCCTTTTTCTGAGACACAGTCTTGCTCTGTCACCCACGCTGGAGTGCAGCGGCCCAATTACCGCTCGCTGCAGCCTTGACCTCTCAGGCTCAAGGGATTCTCCCACCTCAACCTCCCGAGTAGCTGTGACTATAGGTATGCACCGCTGTGCCCGGCAAATTGTTTTTTTTTCTTTCTCTTTTCTTTTTTTTTTTGAGACGGAGTGTCGCTCTATCACCCAGGCTGGAGTGCAGTGGCGTGATCTCGGCTCACTGCAACCACCGCCCACCCGGTTCAATCAATTCTTTGCCTCAGCCTCCGGAGTATCTGGGATTACAGGCGGTGGCTGCTACACCCAGGTAATTTTTTGTATTTTTAATTTTATTTTATATATATATATATATATATATATATATATATATATATAATTTTTTTTTTTTTTTAAGTAGAGATGGGGTTTCACCATTTTGGCCAGACTGGTTTCGAACTCCTGACCTTATGATCCACCCGCCTCGGCCTCCCAAAGTGCTGGGATTACAGGCGTGAGCCACCGCGCCCGGCCTCTCTCTTTTCTTTCTCTCTCCCTGTCTCTCTCTCTTTATTTTATTTATTTATTTATTGATTTTTTTTTTGTAGAGGCGTGTTTTGGAAAAAAAAAAAACAAAAAAAGAACAAAACCCAAAAAACCTGGTCTCCAACTCCTGGCCTTAAGTTAGCCTCCCGCCTCCCGCACCTGGCCGCCTCTTTTTTTTCTGACTCTCTCTTGAATCTAGTCCATGTGGCCTGTTCTTGATAATGAAGCATAGACCTAAGTATTGCCCACAAGCAACGCTTACACAGATCTCTGAAACAGTGAGCATTCAAAGATATCTAACAGAATAGCTGGGCAATTGGCTTAAGAGCTTAAGTACTGCGCATAAGAGTGACTTTTAATACCACGTCCTTGCTAACAGGTCTCTGTTCACTTAACACGGGCACTCCATGTAAGATCCTCATCAGGGGAGCCCGTCGCCCATTTAATTACGCTAACAGCCCGGGTTCAGGCAGAGTCCTAGCTAACACGCAGGGCGGGGCGATGCTCCATGCTGCGCATTCATTGGCTACCGCGTTACCCTGGTAACGCAAAGGGTCGGGGGCAAGAAGAATTGGCAAGGGTAGGAACTGGATTCCCCAGAAGCGCTGGCGTAATGCGACGCCCAGAGCAGAGCTCCCTCACCGATGGAAATTCCTGCCGTCCAGCCGCACTACCACCCAGCAGTGAGCCAAGCAGGTGTCATCAGCCTCGAAGTCCCTCACGTACTCGAACTTGCTTTTTGCCATGGTTGCCCCCAATCTCAGGCACCGTCTTAGAGTGATGGAAGCGGTGGCCAAGGAATCCTGAACCTTAACTTTGCAGGCGGTCCACATTCCCCACGCGGAAGGGAAAGAGCCAGATAGCCCCACCCCGGAAGTGTTTTCTTCGTGGCCGCTCTAGCCGTAGGGCGGTCGTAGTCTCTCTCGCCTCTCCCTGTAGTTCTTAATCTCCGGGGGTAGCAGATGGAGGTTTAGGTTCCTCCTTTAGTGCCGCCCACGCTTGCTTCTTCCTCCTCCCTTCCTGCGGCACATCACTCTCACAAGGTTTTTAAAAATTATTTTTTATCTGCTGGGCTTGACTTACTGGCGGGAGCAATCAGCGTCCCTGTTAGTGTCCAGATCGAAAACACACCCCCAAAAATTATTTTTCTGACCGTCTTTGAAGGTGTAGCTGTGATGTTCTTTGGCTCTTTTTTAGTGGCATTTACTAACTCGTAGAAAATCTGGAATATACCGAAAATATAGTCAATAAAATGAATACTTTATGTCTCCATCTTCCCCCTCAAACCATTGTGGATGGTTCCTAACAGTCCTTTTTCTTTTTGTGTATGTTGACACAGGGAATGCACAAGAGTAGAATTATTCACCTATACAGTGCTTATATATTTTTCCACTCATCTTGAGCATTTGCCAGTATCATCAATTATTCCAAAGTGTTATTTGTAAAAGAAAATGAATTCAATATTCCAACATATGGGTATAATACATTGATTTATTCAACTTTTTCACCAATAAATAATCACAGAACCAGCGTTTGATGCATTGCTGCTGGTGGATAATAGTAACAATAAAATCCTAATATTTGTGTCATACTTGATGATTTACAAAGCTCTTTCAAATTCATTACCTACTTACATTTTTTTTTCCATTCTCAAGAAAGGTATTCATAGCTGGGCAAGGTGACTCATGCCTGTAATCCCCAGCACTTTGGGAGGCCCGAGGCCGGTGGATCACCTGAGCGGGAGTTCAAGACCAGCCTGACCAACATGGAGAAACCTCCTCTCTACTAAAAAAATACAAAATTATCCGGGCGTGGTGGCTCACGCCTGTAATCCCAGCACTTTGGGAGGTGGAGGCAGGGGGGTTGCTTGAGCTCAGGAGTTTGATGCCAGTCTTGACAATGTGGCAAGACCCCACTTCCTACAAAAAAGAAAAAAATTATCCAGGAGTGGTAGCCCATGCCTGTAGTCCTAGCTAGGGGAGGATGAGATAGGAAGATTGCTTGAGGCCAGGAGTTTGAGACTGCAGTGACCCAGGATTAAGCCACTCTACTTCAGCCCGGGCAACAGAGCGAGAATCTGACTCTAATATAAATACTTTTACATGTAGTGAAAAGTCTCTCACTGACTCCTAACTTCACATACTTTAGGCAGTTACTGTTACCAGTTTTTTTGTGTATCTGTGCAGGGATCTATATATCAGTATGTGTGTATATCCTCATAATAGTACCACAAATGGTAATCATCATCTCCTTTGATGCTTACAGTAACGTCAGAGGGTCTCAGAAGAGGAACTGGGATTTCACCTTTACAAAGGGGAAATCTGAGACTCAAAGGGAAAAAAGTAATTTACATAAGGTCACATATGTGGCAGGGCCAAGACATAAATCATGACATCCTCTATCTTTTGTTTCTGTTGCTGTGAAGTGAGTTTTCTGTAGGTTATCATTCCTCACCTTCTACTTCTGCAAACTCCTCTTTCCAAGCTGACCAGGAGATAACCAAATCTTACCTCCTCTAGGAGCCTTACTTTCATTAGGTAAATTTTTCAAAATTATGTATCAATATGAATTCATAATTTTTAATTTTTTTTATTTGTATGTTTTCGAGACAGAGTCTAGCTCTGTCACCCAGGCTGGAGTGCAATGGAATGATCTCAGCTCACTGCAGCCTAGACCTCATAGGTTCAGGCAAACCTCCCTCCCATCTCAGCTTTCCTCATAGCTGGGACTACAGTTGCATGCCACCACACCCGGCTAATTTTTGTATTTTTTTCTAGAAACAGGGTTTCCCCATTCCTATCCTCCACGGAGATGAGACTCCTATCAGAGATGGGCTGATTGCAAAATAAGCCAGTTCCCTTTGGGTTGCCTTGCAATAAAATGCATGGTAGAAGCACTGCACCATCTTCTCCATAGCATCTCTATGGTCTTTTCATAAATTAAGAATTAAAATAAAAGCATAGGAAGGAGGTCTTAAGACACCAATCTGCCCTTTAGTAAAAGGGTTATAAAACGTTTGTTAAGATTTCACCTCATGGTCAAATTGCTTAGGATTAGATGGAATAATCTATAAGGTTTCATGTAAACAAATTGGAGTTAACATTAATAAACTAATACAAGGGCAAAATTTTTCTTTGGATAAAATTTTCATGTTGTAGTAAAGGCTGATGAAAGGTTTTTGCCTTTTAAGTCATTATTTTGGCAAATTAATTTATGGCAGTCTGGAAATTGTCTTTCTGGATGCCTGGCTTTTGGGATGGTTCAGAGGGCCCCTGAAATGCTCAGAGGAAAACAAGATCATTTGACATGTTTAGTCACATGAGATTGCAAAAATGATGTCCAATCTTCTTTAAGTTATATTTTGGTGAATAATACTAATATATGTTCTAAAATTGTATGGGATTTCTAATGTCTAAGTATATGCTATCAATCATAATTAAGGGTAAAGTTATTGTAAACCACAAAGATAAATAAACTTGTCAGTCATATTTTTAACCATAGCCATCCCAGAAATTTGTCATTCGCAGACAATTGTTGTCCTGCTTTGTTCCTTCTCAAAAGATGGTTTATAATCAAGCTATATTAAGGACTTTAACAAAGTTCAGGCAAACCTCCCATCTCAAGTGTTCTCAAGTGCAGGTTTTTTGTTTTGTTTTTTTTGAGATAGAGTCATGCTTTGTCACCCAGGCCGGAGTACAGTGGCGTGATTTTGGCTCACTGCAACCTCTGCCTCCAGGTTCCAGTGATTCTCCTGCCTCAGCCTCCAGAATAACTGGGACTACAGGTAGATGCCACTACGCCTGGCTAATTGTTTGTATTTTTAGTAGAGATGGGATTTCACAGTGTTGGTCAGGATGGTCTCAATCTCCTGACCTCATGATCTGCCCACCTCGGCCTCCCAAAGTGCTGGGATCACAGGCATGAGCCACCAAGCCCCGCACCAAATGCAAGTTTTTAATAGACTTAAAGATTATAACATTGAAATAAAGAATGTACAAGACTCATATGGAACTGACATGTTGACAAATATCAAGCAAAATAAAAGTCAACTAAGTGGACTACACTCAGAAAGTTAAAGCAACCTTTTTAGCTTTTTCTTGGAATATTGCTGCTCCCTGTTGTGATTTTCAGAGTCAAGGAAAGTTATTTCAAACTATTTATGGCCTTTAATAATTGAGTAAGGCATATTATTGTGAACAAAATTTGGAACGTGTATTTTTCTCTGCCTTGTTCCTCTAGAATTTGGAAACTGTGAGTACTCTTAACTTATAGCAATATAGTTGTTTGCATCAGTGCCTTAAGCATCATTTTTCTTTGTCAACAGGACACAATTGGAAAAACTGGTTATTTTACCAAGGCTCTGACTGAAAGGGTATGTTTCCCTTTAAGGAATCAAGCTTGACCTGCAGAGCCAATAAAAACCCCTTGGGGAAAACTGGCCTCATACCTTGTCTGCACAGTCCCTGCACAGGGTTCCTAATCTGTGGTCAGTAAAGAATGTCACTTTCTAACAGGTCTGGAAGCTCCGAGTTTATCTTGGGATCTTAAGAGGAGAGGATCACCCAACTCACAGGTGTTAAGAGTATATAAACCATGGCTGGACTTGGCTTTAAAAGTCTTATCTGAAATTTCTTGTGGAACAGAGTTTCATCAAAGCCAATCTAAAAGGCCTATATAAAAGTAACCATTCTTGCTGAATTTATGCAAATAATCAGGCCAAGTATAAAACTAAAGTTTATTCATAATTAATTTTTACCAAAAACGATGACTGGAGAGAAAAATTTTGCTCCAAAGCTTATCATACATTTGTCATTGAATCCTACTCTGATTAATTGTTTTTAAGTTTTTGCCTACATTTTAGACTAATCCTGCTTATTCCTATGAATCAAGTGGTGATCTTCTGCAGCTTGGGAAAAAAAAAAAGGGATGGGTAATGTAAAAGTGTAAACCAACCTGCTAGTTCTGGGCAATTATATGCTGCCAGGTAATGAAAGTGAGTAAGGTGCCCATAACCCAGAGGTTTCTTTGTTGGGGAAAATAAAACCAAGGAACTTCATAGACCCCCAATGGGGAATTCTGTATCTTGGCAAGTAAAATTTTAGATGGAAATTACCTACCACACCACACTTGTGGGAACTGCTGTCCTCACTCCACTATTTGCAATAGGGTTATACACGGTGGCATCTTCTAACCGAAATATTGGACGGAGCTTCCATTGCTTTAGTATTTGGCTTAATTAATAGCCTTATAACAGGGATAATAGTTGACAAAAACGAAGCATGAAAGTTTTAGTATCGCTGAGTCTGCTAGGACTTTTTTTTTTTTTTTTTTGAGATGGAGGGTTGTGCCTGTTGCCTGGGCTGGAGTGCCATGGTGCGATCTCAGCTAACCGCAACCTCTACCTTTCAGGTTCACCTGACTCTGCCTCCCAAGTAGCTGGCATTACAGGCATGCACCACCACACCCAGCTAATTTTGTATTTTCAGTAGAGATAGGGTTTCTCCATATTGGTCAGGCTGGTCTCAAACTCCAGACCTCAGGTGATCTGCCCACCTTGGCCTCTCAAAGTGCTGGGATTACAGGCGTGAGCCACCATGCCCAGCCATCTGCTAGTACTTGTTATTGGGTTTAGTAATGTAGTTTTAAATGAAACATGCTACTTTTGGATTAACACTTCTAGTAAAGTAGAGAAAAATTTACAGCTACTTAAAAATCAAATCAGCCAGGCACCATGGTTCCCACCTGTAATCCCAACAGTTTGGGAGGCTCCAGGTGGGCGCATCACTTGAGGTCAGGAGATCAAGACCAGCCTGGCCAACATGGCAAAACCCCGTCTCTACTAAAAATATAGAAATTT